CACGCCAGGAGCTGCCAACTAGTGCCACTAGCTATGGTTTTTTGGTCAATATTATATGCATTCACATGATTTCTGTTATAAACGAAACCAAACCACAGTTTAGACAGAAATATATCTTGATGGTTATCATAACTGCACTTAAATGCCAAAATGGTAAAAGGATGGCAGTGAATGTTACGGGTGGCGGGCGAGTACTGTCCATGAAAAATAGCGAGTGGATTTGACACAGTACGATGGCATCTGTGGCTTCTTGGCTTGTAGTCAGAACGGCCGCTCAGGAAGGCACACGTGTTCGGCGCGTGCTGTGTTTGCTGGGTGACAAAGGGGCCAGGCCCGTAGTTTCCGCCTGATCCGCGGCCGTCAGAAGGCAGCATGCGTCACGCGGCGTCGGGGCCGTCGTCTGGGCGGATGTTGTGACGCAGCGGGTCCGGGCCGGTGCACGGGAAAGCCCGGCCGCCGTCCGGGCTCTGTTGACGCGACCCTCCTCCCCCCTTCCGAGCTAGCGCCGCGCCCAGGCGCCGGCTTCACCCTTGCTCGCACTTCTGCCTCTGTCCGTGGACGCAGGGGCAGACGACAACCGGGCTGGGATCAGGCAGGCTGCTTGCACTTTGTAGTATACATATTGCTTAAGTGATCGCTGTGCCATAGCTTCGTTTGGTAACGCATCTATAAAGAGAGCTTCTCTTTCCTGCACATGACGGCGGACACGGCCTGGGCGGCGCAGGCTGGATTTAACGAGGCACATACTGGACGACAGGCCTCGCCAGCAGAACTTGTCATGCCGTCAGAATGCGTACGTGAATCCGGCTGGTACGTCACCGGCTGCAGCTACCTGACCAGCTCCTATCTAAGCCGTTCGAGCCGCCCGCCCCCACCCGGCCACCGCACTGGGCGCACCCCTGTTGAACGACGCCATGCGCTGCATGACCTCGCAGCGTGAACAGCTGTGGTAGAGGGCAGCACCGTTGCCCCGCTCGCGGCTGCAGATATGTCTAGAGGTGCTGTCTGCGTCTGAGTCGTCTGCGACTGGGTCAGTGAGCCTGGGGAGATCATCCGCGGCGTCGTGTGCTCAAGAAGAACAAGCAAATCCGGCGTCGAAGTCGAAACCCGTGCGGAACGTGAGTGCTGCTATATTATTTGTGATGTTATGTCAAAAAGTATGGGTTATTTTGGCACGCCTATCACTCGGGTCCGGGTGTGTTATCTTTACGAGGAAGGGGGATGTCGATGTGAATTATTTAAGAAGGTTCTGCTATCTCATGGAATTTGGGTCCCCAAATGTGGGCCTGGGATCCGAACATTTTTTTCCGCTCGAATATGAGCAACACAGAGGAAAAGTTTAGATATCATGCACAGCCTTCCTTCCACAGACATTATTCGGTGGTGATTATTACTGATGTCTTCTTATAGGGGGCCAGTTCATCGATGTTACAGGCGTGCAAAATAACAATTGGAGTTGATCATGGAAAATTTGGATGAAACTGTTGAGAAGGACAAAGTAATAGAGGGGTTAGCTTCCCGTGTTGTCTTTTCGCCACCCTCCCGGACCATTAACAAACATTTATTCTACCTTTAGACATACACAGTCTGGGGTATTTAGAGTGTATGTTGTTTTACACGACTGTTACAGGCTGCTACCGAAACCCCGTTCGATAGCCGCAACGGAGCAATCGTGACTTACCTGATTATAGGTGAAACATGATTATGAACCTCCGTAAAAGTTGATATAATTTTGAGTTACCATAATTAATGTTCTGTTGCACTGATACGCTAGAAACTTGGGGGAGCCACACTCACTATGGGGGGGGGGGGGGTGGAGAGAATTGGACATGGGCGAGAGGGGAGGGGGACAGTGGCCCACCAAAAGCATACAAATCGACACATGTGGCGCAGACATGTCGAAGAAAAACCTTGAATGCTTCTCTTACGCTCCGGCACTCGAGTGGTAGTGAAATGCCACAGTTCTCAGCGAACAGTCCTGGGGCGGGTGCGGTGCATTTAACACAGCCGTGCCTCGAGCAGAGCCGCCATCTTCTTGCTGATAGTGGGCCGGGGGGGGGGGGGGGGGGGGTTGCCCGGCCCCATTGTTTGGGTAAACGCATGCCCGGATGGTCACTTGAGTGCTAGGGGCTGGGGTTGGGCTGGGGTTAGGGGGGTGGGGGTGGCAAGGGTGACCTCCTGAGATATAAGAAAGTAGGAGAGCTGGAGATCCTAAATTGACAGGGTAGCCTGTAAATGAACTGACCTTTGTCAAAGCTGAGGGTATCTAGGTTATCACCTTCAGGAAGATGAAAATGCCAAACTTCATAGCGTCTGAAGTGACCTCAAACGCATTCATGCAATAAACTGTAACCTACCGATCTCTTCGAAGCAAAAGGTGTCTGATATTTATGTTGGCTCTCTTATTGTCAAAGTGAAAAAACTATTCGAGACTATTTCCGTACATAAATCTATACCAGAGACAAGGTCTGTGCTAGGCGATACGATCCCAAAACTAAATTTTGATGGGGTCACTTTAGGCCGCTTACCCACTTGGTCTAAACTAAATCCAAACAAGATGTCTGTTGACGCTGCGTCCTGTGATATAAAATTTTGAACTGAAAAGGTACTTCATATAGCAAGTTGTCCAATAAAAAACATTTCGGTTTTGATTTAGCCTGACACTCATCCAGTCATGTGCGCGCTCATACTCTGAGCACTGTGGCAACTCAACGCCATGAGAGAGTGCCTTTTCTCAACTTTTTAAAGTGCCTGTTCAGATACTCAATCCTTCCCCAAGTCCGCAAAAATAAATAGGCTGAGTTGCGTGTTCGCATTTATTTTGTGCTATTTGCATAATAACTTCTACTGGGTCAAGCAGTGAGTATTTGACCTAGTCTTCGGCGGGAGCACGAAGTTTGAAGCGAACCTTGTGCCACCCTGTTCGGGTGTCCTAATGTGTATCCCCTTAACGAAAACGTGTGTCTGTGCCTATTCCATTGGATTATTTTTGCGATTGCCTGTCTAGGTTCTAAAGACTTGGCCTAGCGCCATGAAAAGTTGTGCTCTGAGAAGATTTTCTTCACAAACTATCTTGGTAAAGCTGTGTGGTGATCCGACAAATGGAAGCTGTTGTTTATTCATTCATACGTCCTTCAAATATTCGATTTAGGCTGAATGGTGCGGCCCGCAGGTCGTGTGAAATGTCAATAGAGGACTTGTACATGATCTACTTATTTTCTGGTCGTAGAACTTTAGTCCCAACACTTAATGGTATATCATATTTTTTTGTGTGGCGGTGCTTAATGCAGACGATATCATTTGAGTAACACAAATGCTTGGAAAATGCTTGCTGGTGTGGTATATCACGCTTGCACTCAGTGAAAATATAGAAACGTTGATCTTCCTGTGTTTCGGAAATATATTCTGGATAAGAAGATCTTATATCGATTTATGACTAACCTCACGGCTCAATTAATATGCAACAGCATCAGCTCACTTAAAGGACCGCAACCACCACTGTCTCTGGACCTGGAGCCAACCACAGTCAGCCTTGGGAAGGCCTTAGTCGATAACGTCATAGCGTCGTAGCGAGGTTTTTATGCTGACGCATTGCAATCTATTTAGCGACGAAAGTCTGAGTGAGCGAGACTTCTGTTAAATGCGTAGGTTTTGAGTGAGGTATTTTGATGGCAATAGGCACTGACAAGCTCTAACATGCTATGTGCACACAACTTCTTATAAAGCACTTGATTGCTTGGTTTCATGCTGCAACCAAACAAAAATACAAGGTGTGTCTTTTAAACACATTTTTGGCCGCCAGCTGCTATTTTTACCACCCACAAATTACTGTAAAATTATGTTGCTGGATCAACAGACTAGACCATGAAGTCGAGCAAAAAACTTCCGCGAAAAAACTTGATTTATATCAAAAGCTTCCGCTCATGATGACGAACATGAGAACACCTACCCCACAGTCTGGGTCAGATGTGTTGAACCTGGACGCGTGCTTGCTCAATTTTGACCCTGAAAAATGGCACTCTTCCTTTGAGCTCTCCAAAGTTCCCTTTATTTTTCAAGGTAGCAACAGATCCATAAGAAATGCTATCAAACCGAAACACGTCGCATCCAGTGCTCAGGCCTGATCTCCTGTTGGTTGCATTTCAGCCAGCCAAGTGGATCACAGTATGAGCAAGCCAAAACAGCCATCCGCGGGAGAGAAAGTACCTCCAGAAGTGTGCCGCGCATTCAACAGCAAGGGCGGCTGCACTGACGACGGCTGTCGAGAGCTGCACATCTGCTTCTTCTTTGTGAGTGGCAAGTGCAAATATGAGGACAAATGTGTGCGAACGCATTTGCTGAGCACGGGGCATAATCTAACTGCGCTGAAAGAGAAGGGATGGCTTCACCAAAACCAGCACGGAAAGATACTACAAATGATGATGAAGAAGTACAAGCCAAGCGAATCAAAACAGAGAGATCTGAATCTTCCCAAAGTCTGCTTCCCCTACAATACCTTAGGATGTCAGAGCGCCAACTGTAAAAACCTTCATCTGTGTTTGAATTCTGTTCTAGACAAATGTGTCAGCGGAAGCAAGTGTCCCCTTGAACACGACATCGTCAATGGTGAACACAACTTGAGTGTGCTGAGGAAAGGGAGACTGCTTGACACAGAAACAAAGGTCATTGAAGGCAGGCTTAGAGATATGTATTTGGCCATGAGCGAACAGCCTGCCGCCAGACAGGAGCCCAAAAAGGTCGCCGAAAACCCAGGACCGAAGGGTAAAGGCCCGGCTGGGTCAACTGAGGGAGAAGTTGGCAAAAAACAACCAGCTACACCAAGAGCTTGCATCGAATACAACAAGTCTGTGCAAGAATAGTAATTGCCAGTATCTCCACGTCTGCTACGATTTTATCCGCGGCCCGTTGCAAGAGTAAAGGGTGCCCACGCGAGCACAACGTATTCCAGGGCGAGCACAACGTTGGCATTCTGCGTAGGTTTAAGTTGAATGGCACCCGGGATGTGGTGGGAAAGATCCGCAAGGGCTACGAGGCGAAAGAGAAGGCATCCCGACAGCCCGGTGCTCGCGCACAGGCGGATGCCTGTGCCGTCCCCCCGCGGGAAGCCGTCGCCCCCGCTCCCGCCCGCGCCGTCGCCTCCGGCCCGCCCGCCAGCCTTGTCTGCGCTGTCTGCTGCGAGCCCTTCATCAAGGCCACCACGCTGGGCTGTTCGCACACCTTCTGCGAGGAGTGCGTACGGCGGACGTCTCGCCAGACCGACACCTGCCCGCTTTGCCGCGCTCCCATTGCCACCTCGATCCGCTCGCTGGTCATCGACGACGCCGTGGACGAGTGGGTGGACGGGCTGGACGAGGCGTCGCAGCGCGCTGCGCGCCAGCTGGTGGCCGAGCGACGCCGCGCAGGAGCGCAGACCATGCCGACCGCAGCCGGCCGCCCAGCCAACCAGCGCGCGCGCGGCAGGACCGTCACCACCGTGGTCACCTATGAGTGACGCAGCGCCTCGACAAACGCCACGTCACATCACATCAGAAGACCACACGTCCAGCTGGCAAGTTTCACAGCAGGCCGACCACGTGACGAAGCGACGCATCGGCCATCAGCTGCGTGACACATGACGGATTGGCAGCAAACTCGCCTTCATCTGAGCACCGCAGAAACAACTGACAACACCGAAATTTAGCTGTGGATCGCGTGAAAATCTGCTAGACTGGAACTTCAGCTGCAAGCACTTCCCCAAAAGACCGCATGGGAAGGTGGGGCAGTTTTCACGATTTAGCATTGCTATGGTCTACGAAAAGTGTATTATAGTTACAATCCACCGTATAGCCTCAACAAATGCGTAATACCTGGCGCAGCAGCACGTGGTACCCTGGAAGTGAAAAAAGCAAACAAAGATTGGAATTTGGCTTCACTTGACCAGCCTGTTATCATATCATACTTTCATTAAATGTCAATCCGCCTCGCACTTACTTCACGGACTTCAGTTCCAGGAAATGTCACTGTTCCCATTCGCCGTGCTCAGATCTCTCCAGCAACTGGAAAATCATTCCAGACATATGCATGGCAAGCATAAATGACGACTCATGCATACTGATGCACTAGTACATGGTGCCCCTTCGGAATGACATTTACGAATGAGCACTGCATCTATGCGGACTTAATCACCGTCCACGTGATGGTGCCACAAACCGAACTCTGGGGAATGCTGCTTCCGGCAAATGGGTCTTGGTCATTAGAAGCCGAGCCGACTAGCCAACAGCCAAAACACTCCTGTGCATATCCAAACTACAAAAATGGATACACTACGCGTAGTGCACTGATTTCCGCTACTCTATGAGGCCTGCAACCTGCCACCTTGTGAAACACGTGAAATGACACTTTGTGAAACCAGTACATGTGGAACAGACACTTCTAGAACATGGCTGCATGCCAGCAATGCGTTGGAAGAGGTCGACGTGTCAACAGCGACTGTGTGGGACCAAGCCGGACGAATCAACAGCACTGTATGGTGCAGATATGGACGTACCAACGGCGGCGGGTGGCACAGAGCCGGACGTGCCAACAACAACTGTGTGGTGCAGATGGACGTACCAGCGTGACTGTGTGGGTTAGCGCGGAAGTACCAACAGTGACTGTGTGGGACAGAGCCGGACGTGCCAACAGTATTATATGGGACAGAGCGGACGCACAACACTGACTGTGGGACAGAGCCGGACGCACCTACACTGACTGTGTGGGACAGAGCAGACGTGCCAGCAGCGACTGTGGGACATAGGCAGACGTGCCGACCGATGTGTGGGATAGAGCCGGGCGCGCCAACTGACTGTGGGACTGAGCAGACGTGCCAACCAGTGACTGTGTGGGACAAAGCGGGAAGTGCCAG